GTAATAGCCAATTGTGTTTGTCTCTGACATTCGTGCCAAGCGAGTTGAAACAATCCCTTTAACTAAAAGAGCAAGATTCAGAATGTGGATTAGCTTCATTCTTGTACAACAATTTCAAGCATTTGTGACTCAAGTCAAAATATGAATCTTTTATTTATGGATGCTATAGTTTGTAATCGGATATTTATATTGAAAAAATAAAACACGCATGTGAGCAATGTGACTTTTTTTGTTGCTTACCAGAAACGTGAGTTAGAAAAGTAGATGTTCAACTTTCAGCCAATGAAACTATTTTGAGGAACATGTACTGGGTAGTAGAGGTATTGCTTTGGGATTAAAAGATCTGCCAAAATCTAATGCACTGGTGGAAATAGACTCGATGGCCTGAATCGCCTCCTCCTGTTCCCTAAAATTATGTTTTTCTTCAATTCTGTTTAAAAGAGAATCTGCCTGAAGCATTTCTGAATAATTTTTCTTCCCCCTGAATCCAGTGACCTCTCCTCCCTCTACATGGTATTTGCAGTACTCCCTCTTCACTTTGCTTCCGCACATATTTTGTTCCCCTTATTATCACCATAATCCTCTCTTTCTGTGATCCTCCTCCTTTGCTCCTTCCAACCCTGAAGAGTGTGAGTTCTTCCATGCATGAGCCAATCGAGATAAACACCTGTTCACCTACAATTGCAAAAAAAAGCAGTGCTAAATTGCTTAGAATATAGACTGATCAGAGCACATCCAGCTTTTATTAGGCACATTTATAATATGAATCAGTTTCCCAGCAGAATAATGATGGCAGACCATTTGATTTGGGCTGATAGTTAATAAATTAAAGCTCTTTTAAATTGGGTACATCTAGTAAAGAACAAATAAAGAAAGTTTGACACTTCCTATTCAAGTCTTCTTGCATTTGTTTTCTCTTTCTCTCTTCCACCCCTCCCATCACCACCCCCCACCCTCTGATAATCTCTGAGTCATTATTTTATGTGAAAGGTGGTGCTACATAAATACAAGTTGAGGTTGTTATCACCCACACAGCAACCTGCAAGTACTGACCAGGGTTTTGTTGTACCAGCTTTCGATGTGTGCTGTGGCAGGCTACAAATACAAATACTTAACCTACAGCTGGATGCTTCTAGAACAATTTTGAATGGAATACGTAGGCTATCTCCTGTAATGCTGCTGCTGAATATTATTAAATCCTCTGTTTATGAAGGGCTTTAGTGGCAGGGCTTCAGCCCATGCTAGCTGGTTCTTGAGCAATCCATCTTGCGTAGGTCGGCTCATTGGATAAGACTAAGGGGTCTGTACATTTAAAATGAAATAAAAGCAGCACTTGGAAAAGTTCCACGACACTAATAGCTGCTGCAAAAAGTCATTCACTCTCTCAAGGGCTTATTTTTCCCCTCTGAGGTCTCTTGAATCGAGGTAATGTACAGTGGGGGAAGGGGTTGTTTCCTGCTGATGATGCAGCTTTTGATTGATTGATTTGATGAATCTTGCATTTGATATAATGCTTTATCACATTGGAACGACATCTCAAAATGCTACGCAAGATTTTTTTTACTGTAAGGTGGAGTGACTGTATTTTGTAGCAAAGTCCCACAAACAGCCATGAAGTGAATGACCAATTTTATTTTGGAGATAGTTGGCCAGGACACCAGGAAACTCCCTTTTCATTTTGAATATTGCACGGGATCATTAATATTCCCCTTATCAGGCAGATGGGACCATGGTTTAAAATCTTGTCCAAAAGATGGCAGCTATAACAATGCAGCACTTCCCCAGTACTGCATTGGACAATTAGACCATGAGCTAACATCTTGAGACACTTTATCCAACTCGTCAATTGTAGAATGGAATAATTTAGGGATTCAGTATTTTCATCTTTCTTGTTGCTTTTTAAAATCAAATAATACTAAACTATCCACATTTTATCTTGATTTTCCGTGCTCCCCTCTCTCAGCAGCTCGGTTTAGTGGCAGTCACTACTACGGTGAAAATGTTCATTTTATTACATCTTCATCAGGCTTAATCAGTGACTTGCTCTCATCTGCTTGCTTCATAATGTGGCTGTACTAGAACTCATTTAGTGCATTTAACTCTGTGACTGTAACACCCTGACCTCAAATGAAGATTGTCCACTTACCACTTCACATCAGTTTTCATCAATGTTATAAATGTTAATTTCTTTCAATAAATTAATTTTAATATTTTAATATTCATAAAAACTATGCATCATACCATTCCATAGCATTTTCAGCACCCCTGCTTTATTTATGAAGTAAATACCCAGATACTATGAAAACTTTAGGTGTGTGTACGTGTGTATAGATTTCAGTCCAGACTTCAGACAAACTGATGACTCTGTTGAAGCTTTACAATTTGTGTTCACATAGAATGGATATTGTAAAGCTCTTGATTGATACAGTGAGCACTGTCACTAAGCAATTCTGGATAAATTGGTTATTGATTTCCCATTGCTGTTTGTGAGGTGTTTGCCCTCATAACTGTCACTGCACTATAAAAGTAACTTACTGTTTTGAGATGTTTTGATGTGATAAGGCTTGGCATGCGATATCAGAGAGCTACTGGCTTTTGTAGAATCACATCCCAGCACGATTCACTGATTTCGGGAGAGGAGGAAATTGAGATGTAATTTTATGTGTCACAGTAAACTTAAGATGTAGAAATGCCTTTCCTGCAAGAAAATGACAAATACCAGCAAAGTGACCTGTGCCAAAATACAGCTTCAGTATTACTTCTGCGGAACTGAATTTAACTATATTTGAGAATATATTTGAAAATAATAATCCCTCCAAAACAATAATAAATTAGTCATTTTCAATCCACGACTGTTTGTGGGACACTGCTGTGCACAATTGGCTGCCGCATTTTGCCCACAAATATACAGTCAATTCACTTTACAGCATATTCTGTGAAGCGCTTTGAGACGTGTAGAAGAGTGAAAAGCTCTATATTAAATGCAAGGATTATTATTATTATAATATAGTTTTTCTTGTTTATTTTTGGACAGTGTGAGTGAGTCAACTAACACTCTTTCAAGGTCTCTTTTAACTTTCACTCTTGGCAAGTTCTATCATTCATTCCCCTCTCCCCAGGCTTTATCATGTATGTTAGAAAAAGGGGAGAATTCCAACATAGACATCCAATTCAATACCTCCCCTTTCTCACCCTTGATAAACAGTAATATCAGTTTGTAAAGGAGTCTTTGATATACTATGTCAAAGGCCTTTTGATAATCCAGTTACACTACATAAACAACAACTTGCATTTATATAGCGCCCTTACACAGGGTAGAGTCTCAGAGTGTCACATGGCTTCCCACAGTCAAATGAGGATATAATTTTCTCAAAAACGAAGTCTGAGGTTGGTCAGATGAGATCTAGCTCTTCACTAACCCTATACAGGTTCGCTGCTATGTATTTTTAAAAAAATCCATTATAACAAAGCCCAAGAAGATGCATCTCTTTGGCTTCCTGAATAGAACTGCTAATGACATTTTAACAAGCCTTCCGGCATGTATGAGAATCTATTTATCCAATCCCAGATCCCTGACTACCTTAATGCTGCCTTTAGTCAACCTGCATTTAGCAGATTTTAACTACAGATTCATTAAAATTGGGTTTGACAGAGCCATTTGAAGTACAATCCATCTGAGGCTTTGGTGGCAGGAGATGTTCAGTAAATGGAAAGTTTTGTCAGGCTACCATCAGCCTCTTTACATTGCAATTTCACAAAGTATTTGTCTCTGTCACTTGAGTTAGAAAACTATTGGCACAAAGGACATGGTTTCCTTTCAGACTGCATTAATTACATTTAGATACTTGTCCTTAATACTACATTTCTCGCCTTGGTCTCCCTGCACCATGGCATTTTGCCTCCACATTTGTGGTTTTTCAAATTGCATTAATCTCCTTTGGTATTTCGCCCACAAAGTATACAGTGAATTCACTTTACAATATATCCTGAGAACTGCTTTGAGACGTCTCAACGACATGATAAGGTGCTATATCATATGCAAGGATTATTATTATTATTCCGTTTAGCAATGATACTCCTTGATATCTGTGAATACAATTTACATTTATGTAGTGCCTTTCATGTTGGATACAATACAAAATTACATTTGAATAGCGCCTTTCACTTCGGGAGGACGTCCTAAGGTGCTGTACAGTCAGGGATTTGAACCTGAGCAGGGATGAGTTTGGATTGGGGAGGGTGGATGGCAGGGAGGATGGCTGTAGGCACAGTCAAAGAGGAGGGTCTTGAGATGTGCCTTGAAGGCAGCAAGGGAGGGATCGAGATGAAGGACTGTGGGATGGAGAGAGACTGAAGGCCCGACCGCCGATGGTGGAGCGGGTCTAGTGGAGGGACATGGAGCAGGCTGGAGCCTGCTGAGTGGAGGGAGGTTCATAAGGGGTTAGCAGGTCATAGAGGTAGGGAAGAGCAAGACCATGTGGAGTGAGCCCTATAATGGGGTGGGTTTTGCTAGTGGTTTGAAGGATGTAGTAACCTATGTTTGTTAGCCCTGCTGTACAGGATCTGACAGCAGATTCTAGTCATGTTGACAATGCAAAAAGGCCATTAATGGCAAGCTCTGCGGTTTTAGCTGGTTAGACTCCAGCAGTTATCCCAACACATACTCTGAGGTCCCCAAGCCTTGGCTCTTGCCAACCTGTGCCTAATACTTTCCGGAATTAGGTAAGCAGGGTGTGTCCCTCCAGGGAGAGTTCGCATTCCATTCCAACAATCTATCTCTGGGATTTCTATGTGTAGGTGGGATGCATGAAAATCTCAGTTTGGTTTGGATACTCTTAAGCATGGTGATGGGTTTCCGCACGTCGGACACCTGGCTGACCCAAAAAATCCAGAAAGGCCCAGTGGCACATTCAGCAATACAGCTGCTAGGAATTTTAGAGTCGTTCTTCATGAAGTGGTGGTTGCTCAGTGGTCAGATATTTTATCCCTTCCCATTGCAGAATGGGAGCGTCTGACAACATCTACGAAGGGCGAAGCACGTTCATGGAAGAGCTTACAGAGGCAGCTGCGATTATTAAGAAGGCCACGTCTCGATCACTCGTCATCTTGGATGAGCTGGGGAGAGGGACCAGCACACACGATGGTATTGCCATCGCCTATGCCACGCTGGAACATTTTATTAAAGATGTAAGTGTTTTGCAAGTCAAGAACGTATTCATAAACAGCTTTACAGTTGTGAACAAGTCTGCATTCTGAGTGTGCTCAGATAAGCCTGGCTAAACCTCCACATGATTAATTTGCATTTTACTAGATAGGTGTTAACATTGAACTAAAAGTCAGTAAAATTGAGCTTCTGTTAAAATATCAGCTGTAGATGCTAGAAATAAGCAAACAGGTTCTCAGTGATTCAAAGCCAAACATGAGCCCCTGTAATTTCTGTTTCTTCCTCCAGCTCAATAACAAGGTGGCCACTTGCCTGAATGCCAAGTTTCCATTTGTATTTAAAAATAACTTTGTTTTCATTGATCAGTTTGGATTAGCCAGGTTTTCTTGCTGGATATAACGTCCTCACTGTTTGCATTTGAGTAAAGACTTTCTTTGTTTGGGTGAGACTTTGCCTTCTAGCTTTGAATATCTGATGTTGTATTAGATTCAAGAGACTGATCTGCACAATTCTGTTTCGGCATGTTTTAAATAATCCATTTAGCTGATTGCTACAGCAGAAAGTTTCCAGTTAGTATATTTTCTGTGGGTGAGGGAGAGAAGTCAAAACATGAGTTAATATCTCTCCATTACTACCCTACAACTCTCTTCTGATATCTCTCTTTGTTGCTAGTCCATCCCTCCCTCCACCATCCCTATACTTTGATATGAGTTGGTTGTGGCATAGTTTGGATCATTCATTTTGTTTCAACAACAACATTTGTATAGCGCCTTTCACGTAGGGAGGACATCCCAAGGCGCTGGGCAATCACTGTTTCAGACCTGAGCTGGATTGGGGAGGGTGGAGAGCAGTGGGGGAAGCAGGGTGACCGAAGGAGGGTCTTGAGACGGGTGTTGAAGGAGGCAAGGGAGGGGGCGAGGCAGAGGGACTGCGGGATGGAGTTCCAGAGGGTGGAGGCAGAAGGCCTGCCCACCAATGGTGGTATGGGCAAGGCGGGGGACGTGAAGCAGGCCGGAGCCCGCTGAGCGGAGGGAGCGGGCAGATTGGTAGGGGTTTAGAAGGTCACAGAGGTAGGGTGGAGCAAGGCCTTGGAGGGTTTTGAACTTGAGGACCAGGATTTTGAACTGTATCCTCTGTGTGATGGGAAGCCAGTGAAGTCAGGCGAGGATGGGGATGATAGGGCCACGGAGCCTGGTGCAGGAAAGGACACGGGCTGCAGAGTTCTGGATGATCTGCAACCTATGGGGGGAAGAGTTGGGGTGCGACAAGCAGGGAGTTTGCTTAGTTGAGCCTGGATGTTATGAATATGTGTATGAGGGTCTCAGCGGCCTGCGGTGTGAGATAGTGGCAGAGCGGGGCGATGTTGCGGAGGTGGGGAAAAGCAGAGTGGGACATGGCACGGATGTGGGGTAGAAAGGATAGTTGAGGGTCAAATAAGATGCCAAGGTTCCGGAGATGGAGTGTGCATCCTTCAATGGTGATACTGTCAGCGCCTGAGGTGTGGAGGTGCTGACGGGAGCCAATCAGCAGAGCCTCGGTCTTGTTGACGTTCAACTGTAGAAAGTTTGCTCTCATCCAGAACTTGATATCTGACAGACATTCTGTCAGGACAGCAGTGGTCCTGGAGTCGAAGGTGGAGGCAGAGAGATAGAGTTGTGTGTCATCTGAATATATGTGGAAATATCTACATCACCTGCCTGCAGGTCAATATTCTGGACACATTATCGTTCATATTAATATGATAATTATCATATAATATTGATGATGTCAACTTGAATGCCATTACATAAATGTAAAATTACATTATATCTTCTTGGCTGGTGCTGTATTTGACTACAAATATAGTGATTACACTTGACAGTAATTACCTTTGAATTGCTTCAGTGTGATAAAGTGCTATAATTTATCACAAATAATCTTTTTGAGAAAGTTTAGAGATAATCCTATTTAAGTTTGCTATTTTTACATGTTTTGAACACTTTCCCCCTATAGATGAGCTGTATACTGGGCAGTGCTTTCTGCATCACCGGAAGTGGTATTAGCTGAAGTGATGCCTCTTTCAAAAAAGAATAGAATGGCCCTGGAATCACAATCACCATTTCTGTATGAAATAACATGGTTCATTACAGGAAGTAACGTCAGAGGCAACCTGACGCCCCTGAATTCGGCAATATTTTAACCTGGGAAGCTGGCTGGTCGGTACTAGAAGCCGCACAGGTCAACAGTCAACTTGTAAAGTGCTCTATCAAAGGGTGCTCTAGCAAGGCTCATCTGTGTTTATAAAAAATAATAAATAATCCTTGTATTTGATATAGCGCTTTTCACATTGGGAGGATGTCTCAAAGTGCTTTGCAGGATATACTGTAAAGTGTGTACTCGGCGGGCAATTTGAGCACAGCACTGATCCACAAACAGCCATGAAGTGAATGACCAATTTTTAATTGGCCAATTATTAGCCAGAACAATGGGGAAAACTCCCTTCTTGTTTTGAGTAGTTTCATGGGAACTTTAACATCCACTTCAACAGGCACACAGGTTTAATGGCTCATCTGAAGGACGGCACTTCTGACAATGCAGTGTTCCCCCAGCACGGTATTGTCAGCCTGATCAATATGAGGTCAATGTTCCGAAGTAAGGCTTAAACCCGCAACCTTCTGACTCAGGAGAGATTGCTACCTACTGAGCTAGGTTGACACGCACAAGAGTTCATCATCATTCATCATAATCTCCAACCCATTTTTAATCAGAATATTTTACTCAGGAGACTTTTCTGCTGAATAATGAAACCTGATAGGATTTCACCCGCCACTATGAGCATCTACCATAAAAACATAAGAAATGCTAGATTAAAAAAGACTAAGGTCCATGTAGTTCGCCTTTCACCTTCGTGGTGGTCACATGCACATAACTCCTGAACTACCTATGTACTATATCCCATATTCCTACCAAAACCATTTTTACCTATATATGTATTATATAGGTAGGTGATAACTTACAAATCCCAAACTACCTGTGTACTGTATCCCATATTCCTACCAAAAACATTTAAAACTAATTTCATGCGAACCTTAATTTGATGAAATTGGTAGTTGTCTATCAGTAACACTAATACCCATTTACTTGCTGAATAAATATTTCTGACAGCTTCAAACCGTTACTGTGGGGATGCTGACTGATCAACATTCAGAGTTATGTCTCATGTCAATGTTGGTTCATCGCTGCAAGGGCTTTTCATGGAGTGTATCCTGGCAACGCATTTCTATTTTTACAAGTCATATTATGTTAAATTAAAATTGTACAGCATGGCATAATTGCAAACAGTGATATGCACAATGGGGCTGGGATAAAGGGTGTTTGACAACCTTTATTGACGACACCTTTTGGTCCTTATCTTTCGAAATGAGCCGATAAAAGTTTGGGCTCAGTTATAGTCAAGTGTAATTGAATGAGTGAAAGTTATGATCATTTCATTTAAATTTTATATGAATGCTAACTTGGTTCTGCGATATTACTCTGTAAACTGCAAAGGTTTCTTAAGGGATGAGTGGGAGAAGAGACTCTGTAGTAGATTGAAAGAAAGAGGAGCTGCTTTTTGCTTCACAGACATTCCACAAGATAGATATTTTTTGGCTGAAAGCAGCCTTGGGTGAAAATGAAGAACGTTGCTAGGCAAAAGAAGACCAAGATCCATCCAGTTTGTCTTCCACCATCCTGGCAGTCGTGACCCAAACTTTATATGGTGTCCTGAGATATTATTTTCTCACAGAAATCTATCTAATTTGTTCTTGAAAGAATCAACACTTTCACTTAAAGGAAGAAGTTTCCTATTCTGAAACGATGTTTCTTTTTGACAGTAGTCTATAACTTGTTAATGTCAAAATCAACTAGGCATATATAAGCACTGGTGTTAAAAGCCTTAGAACCTACAGAATTTACATGGAAAAATAAAGCTGCTCTGAATCCTGTCCTCATAAATGAAGACCAATTAAGGGTTTTACTCCAATAACTGTTAAAATGTTCTTGCCTTAGACTTGCTCAGTGGGTCTATTTATATCCACTGCAGCATTTTGTTTGCCACTGCTGCCTGCATTATAATGACTCTTTTTACACTTATACCATGAACGTTTCCCTAACTTGCCCTGTGTAACAATATAACCTTTGCCTTGTACCATGTTTTCAGTTTTTAATGCATGGCCCTAACGTTTTCACTGTTGCATTTTTGCAATTCATCTGCTTCCTGGCTATACAACTTAAATTTCATGCCTTGCTTGTAATCATCTTGGTCCTTGCACAATTTAGCATAATTTGTAGATTTGAACATTCTAATTTAATAGCTTCATGAACGTGTTTATAATTATGATGATCAACAGAATCTCAAGACTTGAACTCTGTAGTACTCTGCAACTTAGAACTGTCCCAATTATTTAGCCAATCTATTAACAAATGCATTGTTAATAAACATCACTTCTCAATTTAGCAATGGATTCTTTATAAGGTGTTGTAAATGCTTTAGGAAAGATGAGATGTAAAACATCCACCCAGTATGATACATTCTGAAGAATTTGACTAAACTTGTGAGACATTATGTTAGCAAATGTTGGCTTGAAATCACTGCTTTTGTAATAGATTCTGATGAGTTATAGCTATGATGATGTATAATTCCCAATGTTCTGCTTCTGATCTTCCTTTTACAAAATCAGATACTTTCCCATTTCTGATGATGTCCCTGCATAGGAACATGGGAACAGGTGTAGGCCATTCAGTCCTCAAGCCTGTTCCACCATTCTATTAGACCATGGCTGATCTGTTCCTCAACTCCTGCATCTAATAAGTTGTGAATAATTTCAGTCAACAACAACCACAAAATTACATTTGTATAGAGTCTTTCACATCAGGAGGACTTCCCAACGCACAGCTCCCCTTACTTTTCTTGAAGTATTCCTGAGCACGTTCCTTCTGATCCTGTTGCCTTTTGCATATTCGATCTGCAACTTAAGGCAACTATAGCGAGGACCAACGTTTC